CCGAGCTCCGTGAGAAGAGGGATGTCCAGGATCTAGGGTCCCAGATGCTAGCCTGGCTGACGGGCAGGGCCGTGTCTTCCTCCTCAGCTGCCCTGCCGCATCGTCCACCTCAGTGCATGGTCACTGCTTAGTGCTTTCTGGATGGCTCTATGGGGCTCATGAAATGCCCTGGCCAGACAAACGGAGGGGCGGGGGGACATTCTTAGGGAACCTCACCTCACGCAGACGCTTCAAGGTGCAGAATGGGCAGTTCACGCGCACGGGTCAGCCTTGATTTCCTCATCACCCGCGTTACTAACTACGCTAATCCTCCAGCCCTTGTGCTCCCTTTTGCCCAGATGTTTGTCCAGGTGCCAGGCCTGCTGCTACAATGTCTTAGGGGAGAGGAGGAAAGGGTGAGAATTCCCCACTCTAGGCTGCTGCCGACTCTCCTTTCTGCTGCCCTTAGAGTGGGCCGGCGCCCTGGAGTATTTCAGAAGGACGGGAAGAGTGGTGAGGAACTGTTTTCCCAATTCTCAAATATGCCAGCTGCTGGCTAGGAAGAGCATCGCCAGCGCCACAGGGGAGGAGGACCAGAGGGAAGTTATGTTGAGGAATGAGAAAAGGCGGGGCAGCACCTGAGGCATCTCAGGTGGAGGCAGCTGGCATGAGGGTTGGCTGGGCACCATGCCAGCATAGAGAAGCCATTCTGCTTGCTTCTGCTGGATAAGGAACACCCAGGCTGTTCAAGCCCTCCTCAGCCTCCTCCTAGGAGCAGAACTCTCCTCCTTCAGAGGCCTCATGGGAGGTGGCATCCCTGAAGGATGATGGTCAGGTCGTTGTTTGGGACTGTGAGACCTATGTTTCTGTTTAGGCTCTCTGTTTATTATCATGCTGCCATGGAGCCCCAGGCCGAGCTGTCCTGGTGTATGTGTATGTATATAGAGGATCTTTGGAGAGCAGAGGGTGTGTGTGTGTGAGCGAGTTCTTAGCTCTGAGACGATCAGAAATGTGAAGGATTTACCATTATTAAAACCTGACCTCGAGATAGAGCATGTGCCCAGAATGTGTTGTGGGGGCTCTGGGTTCAATTCCAGCACTGAATTTTCAGCACTGAAACAAACAAACAAACAAAAACACAAAAGCGAGCTACACAAGCCATGCCCGGTAGCCAACATCTGTGACCCCAGCACTAGGGAAACCGATGCAGGAGGGCTGTAGGCTGAAGGTCAGCCTGAACTAAATAACAAGATTGTTTCAAAAACACCACCACAACAGACATAGAGAAGAGTTACATCAATGGAAAGACTCAAACTGATGATCGTGTCTTCTTGCCACGGAGGGCTTCCTCTGGAGCCGTCTTTGGAGCTCAGATTCCCAGGTGCTGATTCAACCCCCTTTTCCCACCCAGTCTGGATGGGTGGCTTGTTGGTGAGTCCCTATAGGAGTCGAGTGTTCAATGCAGCCAAGAGTCCACAGAATAGGAGAGAAGAGGAGAAACATCTCTCCAGTTGTCACCTCAGAGAGAATGCTCAGGTCCTTGGGGACGGGACAGCCCTGTCCTAACTCTGCTTCGCTGGTCCCCCTGCTGTGTGGGTGTGGGACTTGGGGTGCCAGGGCTGGTCTCTGCTTCCGGTAGTCACAGGTAAGATGGTTGTGGAAGTAGAAAAGAGGCTGGGAGTTCTAGAGTCAGGCCAACCTGGCTCTCAATTTCACCTCAGAGGCTCTTGGATTGGGCCGTTGTCTAAACTTTTTGGAAACTTCCTTCCTTCCTTTCTTTTTTTCTTTTTTTTTTTTTTTTTTCCAAGACAGGGTTTCTCTGTGTCGTTTTTGGTGCCTGTCCTGGATCTCACTCTGTAGACCAGGCTGGCCTCAAACTCACAAATATCCACCTGGCTCTTCCTCCCTAGTGCTGGGATTAAAGGTGTGCACCACCACCACCGCCTGGCTTCTATTTTGTTTTGTTCCTTGGACAAGGTCTCATCATGTATCCCTGGCTAGACTAGGACTCACTTAGGAAGATCAGACTGGCCTAAACTTTGTGTTGATCCTCCTGCCTATTCCTCCCAAATCTAGGATGACAGGTGTACACCTTTATTTCTGATATGTGGCTAATGTGGCAGGATTAAATTAGAGACTATTGGGTAAAGTACTGGCTGATGCCCTTCCCCTTAGATGGGCACAGAATAGGGACAAGAAGACATTTTGTTCCTGGTGGGGGGTTCTGGGTTGGGACCACCCCAAAGGGAGAGGAGTCTTATAGAGCAGTGTGAAGTTCTGAAAGGGGAGAGGTGTGTGCCAGGCTGTGACCCCTCCCATGCACAGGGCCTGTGGTTTCCTAGTGCCCATCTTAGGCAGGCAGCCAGGCAGGGAGCTGGACGACTGCCCAGTGAGTGCCCAGAGGCCAAAAGATGGGTACCATCCAGTTGGCAGAGGGAAAAGCAGCTGGCCCAGGAGAGAAGTCATGGTCTTAACTGCTGGGGTTGTGTGCCCAGACCATGTGTCCAGGACACAGTTCTTGGCTGTCCTCCTGAGATGGCCAGCTGGAGCCGAGTCCCCTCTCACCGCCTTGCTCTGCCACCTGAGTTAGTGGAACTGGAATTGATCTGTAAGGGGCATTTGGGACCTTGACCCTAGCTGGGCATGCGGCTGGCTCAGAGGCAGGCCTGGGGGCGGGCAGAAAAGCAGGAGAGCCCAGATTAAGGCTGGGACTGGGTAGATGAAGAAGTGGGGAAACCGGTTTGTCATCTGGGCCACTTGGGGTGGGGTCTCCTCTCCTGGGCTCTGTCTGCCAGCCATTCTGCTGGGTAGACTGAAGGGAAGAGATGTGGGCACTGGGTGGCCTCTTCTTGACCATCTGAACTCCCTCTGGGAATGCCAGGAGTAAATAAAACGGACAGAGGGCTTAGCCCACCTGCCCCTCTCGAAGAGAGGCTTCTGAGAGGAGAAACTGGCCACAAAACCCGAGGGAAGGAAGGAGGGAAAAGCCTGAGCACAAAAGGTCAACGAGGGTCTGGGTCCAAGCTGGAGATGGAGAAGTCTGCAGAATTACCAGGTAGGCCAAGGAAGGTGAACCAGGGTGGGGCGTGCCGAGGTGGCGCTTTGCAGGCCGCCGTGGAAGTGGCAAAGGTGTCACCAGAAGAGGCGCGAGAAGACGGTCTGGAGCGTCCTACTTTGGGGTCCACTTCAGAGGGAATCGATGTCTCCTCCCTCACTCGCATGCAGTACCTGCTCGCGCCGGAGGTAGGGGCGGGAAACCCAAGTAGGGGGCTAGGAGGCTGTCCAGCAGGGGGCGCCGGAGAGCTGGGTCCCTGGCCGAGGGGTGGCTTTAGACGGGGGAGGGGCAGGGATGAGGGGGCGCGACCGAGGAGAGGCACACTGGGGGTCTCGACTCTGGGTGTAGAGCGACTGTGGCGTTCCGAGGTCACCTTGGCTCGGAAGAGTGCTCCCCCTTCTCTCGCCCTCTCCCCATCCGCTCCGCCGCGCCCGGAGCGCTGGTCTGTCTGTCCCAAGGCGTGCTTGGAGACCCAAGGCGCCACCTCCCCAGGTGCCTCCTTCGGGGCCACTCCGGGGTCAACGCATTTGTTTCTACCGCGGCTGGAGGGCCGCTTAGGGTGTGTGTGTTGGGGGGGGGGGAGAGCAGGTGGAGTGGGGGGCGGAGCGTGAGCGCGCCCCGCACCCCAGTCCCGGCCGTGTGCTGCTGGAGGGGAGCGAGGAAGCGCAGTGCCCCTTCCCCCTCCCCCGCTCCCCGCCACCCCCCGGC